AAGTTTTTAAATTTCTTCTAAAATAGATATTCATTTTTCCTGGTTTTGACGGCTCACACCCATGACAAAACCCTGAGTTGAATGTATCTCGGTCGTGGCCCGTATAAAAACCTATACAAATTCGGTAGGTATGTAAGATACTTTTGTGGCGGCGGACTGGGGTCGATTTGCACCCCTGAGAGTGAATAATGTTTTGTGTTTTATTATACAGATACCTTAAAATATTTTAACCATAAATCTTTTCGGTGCCGGTAAGGCGAGACCCATGTCAAGATTTTGAAACGGGTTCTTGTGTGAATAAAACAACCTTTTTATGGAGCCGCCTATCACCCTCTGGTCGGCACAACCTTGTCGTCCCTTAGTCAGTGCGTGAGCATCAGCCTTAATAGCAACAACCTCCAAATACCGTATTCCACGAGCGATTACAGGATTCCTTGTAACTAGCAAACGGTGTGTTTTTCATAATTCGATTGACTTATTTTAAGTAATCTATTAGTGTCACCTACAACTTTTACAACTTAGGCCAGAGGCAGCTGCTAGTCAGGTACGGCATTTTATATAAAATATATTATATTTACTGCATTATATTATATTATATGCACATTTTGCATGCAATTATATTGTATGGTATATATGTTCAAATTTTCGAACTCACGATCTCGAGAGCCCTCCGAACACCTGGAGGAAGGTAGTGGAGTAAATTTAATACTTTCATCTGGTATTATTATCCAGTACTTATAAGTGTAGAGAATCATAGTCCTGGACGCAATTCATGTTACTTTTTGCTTTAACATTTTTCTTAGTGATTTCCGAATTTATTTTTAATTTTAATAATAGTTTTAAATTTTGTAACAAAAATAATAATAATAATATTAAAATCACGATTAAAGATTATTTTAACATATTGGCCAATAAATATAAGTACAGAAAAAATTAAACTAATATGATAATGACTTATAATTTATACATATGATATTATGGTTTTTTTAATATGTGAATATGACAATTTATACCTATGATATTTACAGTTTCAATTTTATATATAACCTGACATATATTTAATATCTTAATATCAATTTGACAATTTGAAAGATCAAATTGGACTATAGATGTCAGACGCAATTCTTTTAAAAAGATTATTTTACCTTTTTTTGTATGCAATTTGTGTGCACCCGGGTGAGCAGTTGTGTGAGCGTGTGTGCGGTTATGCATGGCCGTGTTTACTATAACTACCTAAACAGTACTCGTATTTGCTACATTAGGGTGGCCGTTTATGGCTCGGGAATGCTGGAATCATAATTGCGTTTTAGTTAAACTGGTTTTCGGCCACTTTCTTTGATTGGTCATTTTGGACTGAGAATTTAATACTGCAGTTTACGTGTAGGAATAAACAAATATTAACTATTCTTTATTAATTTTTATTTGACAATTCGTATTGATAAATTATTGAACATTTTAGTTATTGAAAGGGTATATCGTGTGGAATAATAATAAATTATTCAGTTATGTACTTTGATAAGCACAATACTTCATACATTTTTTATTCTTCTATGCCTGTTTATTCTATTATAGTTGCTATAAGTATATGTATTTTAATGTCATAAAATATTTTATAATATACGTATGACATTTCAACAAAATTCGATAGAAATTGTTTGTAAATAAATATTACAAATAAAAAAAAAATGTTTTTTTCACAATATTTTATATTGACATTACATTTTTACATCAAAACATGTGTGACATTTAATTATCATTAGGAAATTGTCCAATTTTGTTGTGTTTATTAAGGTTTAATTATGAAATTGTATTATAATTTTATAATTTGCACAATACTATTATATAATTATAAATACAACCATTTATAATTTATAGACAACAATATTTTATTATAAATTATTGTTACAATTTATTTTAATTTAAATGTGTTGTGGCGATAGTATATATAAAATAACTTAGTATAACTGAAGGTAATCCGGTGGCGGGGTGATACATTTTATACTTCGCGGAGGCGACAAAAGTACCATATTATATACTTAACATGACAGTTTTGTTATTTTCAATTGTGAATTTGTTTTTTCATTTAAGAAAAATGAAGTATTATTGCTTTTACATTTATTGTGCAATAACCTATTCACTGTTTTATGGTATAATTCGTGTGACCTTTCTTGAAAACGTAAATTCTGTATGGGTTTATCGTATATTATAGGTATCATAGGTATGTTAGTTTTTTTTAAGTAGACAATTGTTACAACATGAATGCGAACGTATAGATGGGTCAAATGTACTTATGAGGCGACATACTGGTAGGTGTTGGTAAGTCGTTTGACAATAAGAGTTGAAAAAAATACAAATAGTGTTATTAATGTAGAAAAACGATATTGAATTTTAGAGTTCTACAAGAGCGTTATAAAACTGTCTTTGGAACAATATATTATATTTTATTTTATAGTAATATATTCTAATATATCTCTTCTTGGTATATTTTCTTGGGTCTATAATAGCGTTCCGGGAACCCGACCTTCGGAGCTATACAAAACGAAGCATCCCACTGCTTAAGATCGCCTACGTCGGTTCACAATATATTTTAGGGCAACTGGACCAAGTATAATAAAATAATAGATTACCTACGTAGACATGTAGGAATTCTATAATATTTTACATCGTTCAATATTTAATTTTAAATATTATATAAATTATAAAATATTATGTTTATAATATTTTCTTTAACTGATCATAGTAAAATCATTGAACAGGCAGAGATAAACAAGTAAGGAAAGTTCACTCTATATGCGTGCTAAGTTTCCGATTTCTAAACATATTTTTATGAAACGCAATAATTTATAATTTCATAATTTTCAATTTATGTACAGTCATTACGGGGACAACATACATATTATAGAAGAAATTAATGCTTAAAATATAATCATTATTTATTTTTCTGTTTTCGATTATTACAGGTGGCAGAACAAGGGTGAGGTATAATAAATACTTATCTAGCCCTTTCAAGACTACGAAACAAAGCTTTCTTACAAAAGAACAAACAGCTTCGCAAAAAAAATCATAGGTTTGCAGAGGGCCCCTTGTTTGATGGCAAGAGAGATGAACAACGACGACGGAAGACAATCTGACAGGAGTGATTTCATGAGGATAATACGGGTTTGGTCATTAAATAAAACTTCAGCACCACTACGACCTGAAACACGTGTTGCACGTCGTCGCCCCCAACCTCATGTTCAAGAAGTTCAACAACTCCCGAATGGTGGAGAACAAGCACCAACCACTATCAAGCCGGCAAAAGTAGCAGCTAAGGAGACGGACCTAGCTGTCATCCGTCCACGACCGAATTCATACCACTGGATTTTTTATCCCTATGTTATGTTAACGAGATGTGAGACATTGGATAGGATCATGCTCGAACTGTGGCCATAGGCCAGGGTGGTTGGTTTTGCAAAAAAAAAGCATGCATATTTTTTTTTTAAATATTTTTTATATTTTATAATTACAATTTACAATTAAAATATTTTTTAACTTCTTCACTTAATATTTTAATAAAAAACTTGTTTACTTTTATTATGTTGATGTCGATTGCTCATCGTGTCCTTTACTATCTATTGCGTCGTTACTGTACTTTTGCGATGAACTGATTGAAAAATCAAAAAAATCATTTGCTACACGAATATTTTTTGAAAGGATTTTTCAAAATTATAATTGATTTTATGGTAGGAACAAGAAAGCGATATTTATTTGTGTGTTTTTTATCACCTTTCGGAGCAGTAAAAATATTCGATTTATTTTTACAGCATTTTTTTTGGTAGGAAAGTGAATAAATTTGGTACTTTGGGTAGTCAAAAGACCGTATAAAATTCACAATAGTTTTCAAACGCCGCACGAGTTTTCATAAAATGGCCAAGTATGTTTTGGTAAAACTTGTTTGAGTTGTTGTAGGTGTATAAATTTTTCCTCTTTAATTTTTATTTCTTCTTTACATACATTTTTTACCTCAAAATCAATTATTTTTCGGTTGTTATTTGGTAAATTTGCCCATTGATCGCCATAAGTTATTTTAAATTGTATTGTAGAGTCTGGGGTATATATTATTTAAAAGGTGTCGAATTTCGTCGTCAGGTAAAAGAGACATAATAACTGATTTATAATATCTAGGTACCTACTCTTATTTATTTTACAATAAGTAGTACCTAATAACTTACGGTTAACTAATAGTTACTAATTTACTATACCTAAATACGTAATACATATACGTAACAAAAAATCTCAAAAGTAGTTTAGCATACTTTATAATAAACACTGTGATTGTGATGAATCATGGTAAAACACATTTACCAAAACAAAATAATATATATAAAGTTATGTGTTTATAACATTCATAATAATAATATTATAGTCGAGTTACGAGGTTTTGATATTGATGATGTGGTGACACGACCGGTATCACCAATCGCCATCGCGAGTCAGCCCGGCCCGGCAGTCGTAGTTGTTTTTATATTCTCTTTGTATTTTTGTATATAATATGTTCCGTGATTTATTGTAAACTTCGCGAATTATTTTCCCCACCGAATTCTCGACCGTTTCGGCGGTCAACCGACTCTCGTGCCCGAGTCCCGCGATTTTGTCCGTCACTGGCGTCACTCCTTTTTTCGACGCCCGACTCGTCAAGACCATTTTTGTGCTTTTTTAAAAGTTGTATGTTACGCCCGCACACTTGCGATAAAATTCGCACTCCGCACCACGAACGTGCTCGAATCTTTTGTATGAATCGTTTCTTTTTTTTAAATGTTTTTTATGTTTCATAAAATAATAAAAAAACACAATACGGCCCACGTATTTGCCTTACGCCAAATTTAACCGTGTCGTTTTATCCCTATCCTTTTTTCCTACTCACTAGTAGATTGTTGGTCGATTACCGTGCCATAACACCTCACGCCCCGACGTAATCACCATAATGATATAGATAAGAGGTTTTGTTTTTCTACGATATCTTATGAGGGTCGTAGGCAGTCACAGATATATAATTCTATATATATATCTTTTAATATTAATTTTCCGGGAGCTTCAACAAATTCTGACGATCTAAAATGGGCACTACAGAGTCTACTTGATTTGGTCACTGTGAAATTTTCTCTTTGAACAAGATCCAACCATTCTTTTTTCCTATTGTCGTCATCAGGAAATCTTGAACACATAATTTTAGGGCAAATAAGGGATAGGTAATAGGTATAATAAATAATTTTACACATTATACCGGAATAACTTTATGTTTTTTCCAAGACCATCTCGATTATTGCAACCATAGGCACAACATTTGTAAGGCATAATTAAAATAAATTAAT